TTTTTTTCTTTTACCTTTGATTTTACTCCTTTCAAAGGTTCGTATTCGCTTTTTTACTTCTCGGGACAAACAAACACATTCATTATTATTATTATTAAAAGAAGAAAAAAGTTTTTTTTTTTTTCGAAAATAGTGTGATAAATAAATAAATAAATAAAATAATAATAATTTGTTATTACATTATTCGCACGTGACCTATTTTCGTTTGTTTGTTTTCTTTCGCGAATGAAAAAGTAAACAAATTTTTGGGGGTTTTTAAAATATAAAATCCAACAACTGAGTTTGTATGATATATTTCATCCCTTAATATAGTTTTATTTGAGACCAAAAAAATAAAAATTTAAGATTTAATGATGATCGCAAATTTTTAAACGGTTTAATTAAAATAAAAATAAAAAATTTTCTTTTTTTTAACGAATTTCTTCATTTAATAATTTTTAACAGCGAAATGAGGTTAATGACCTTGTCAAAACGTATACTTTAAAATATAAATTTTTTTTTTTTTTTGACTGTTATTAAATTGAAATTAATTTTATGCTTACTTACTTACGTACATGTTAATATTATTATTATTACTCGCCGCGACTATTAAAAAATTTCGTTCGAATATTTCATCGAATTTTCTCGAGAAAAAAAAGGAAGGGAGGGAATAAGAAAAAATTGTAAAAGATCTTGAACTCATTCGAACTGTAAGTCGTCTTTTAAAAAAGAGAAAAAAAAATTGGGCAATAAAAGATTTGATGAGAAGAGAAAAGAAAAAAAAATTTGAAATTTACGTCATAAATTTTTATTACCATTTAACTTTTAATGAACATTTCAAAATTATGTCATTTAAATCCATGTTTTTTTTTTTTTTTTTTATGTACAAGAAATAATGTGGTGCCAATTATTATAGAGTGTCATTTATTATTCTTACAATCATGGTAATTAGTGTTGTTAAATTTAAATGAAACACGAACGCCATGTTTTGGTTTTGTCATAAAGAACCAATTAACACCAACGGAAAATAAAAAAAAAATTATTATTATTATTATTATTATTATTAATAGAAATTTTGTAGATTGAAAAA